TTTTTTTATTAACAATGAAACACTTTTTATCAGACCTTCTGAGCTGTGTTTAACAGTAATTGCTACTACACCTGATAAATGAATGTTGCTGTTCTTTTCCAAGCTACTCTACCTGAGAATAAATGCAATTTAAGACCTTTGAAATTTGGTGCTTTTTACTGGTTTAAGACCCACGGCCACTGTGAATAATCTTTAACACTTACCATCAGCTGCCTGGTAATATTAGTCCTTCAGCTGCACTTAGCAGCAACACGCAGGGCGCCCCTGTGCAGTACTGCACAGAGCAAACACCGCCATCTGCTGGGGTGGACGTGGTTCAGCTGGTCACTAATAAGAAGAGCCACCACACGCTTGTATCAAACTAACATCTTCTTTTATTTGTATTGAAGGTTACAGAGCATCAGGTCTTTTTTTCCCTATCAAAATAAGTAAATCAAAATTCAAGCAAGAGTTCAATAGCTTCTTGGGGGTGGGATAAGTGGGTTTGTACAGTAAACATATGACAATATTTACGTTTTTAAGCTTTAAAGTTTTCATGTGATGCATCTAACCTGGTCAGTGTTTCAGTTTGAGATGGATGAGGCGAACGCTCTGATGCATGACTTCAGGGGATGTGCCTTTTGACATGTTACTGATTCAGTGAATCGTTTCAGATCCATTTTTAATTTTTTTTAAAAATTCACTTAAATTTTTCTACAGGCGTTTGGTCCCAACAACACATATATGTCCGTTCGTGAATCAAACTTAACATCTACTCTCTTTGGGAATGCAAAAATATACAATCACACACGGGAGAACTACACAAAAAACAACAAAAAAACCCAGTTAATGATTCTCCAGGGTCTTTCCCCACATTGAAAACTCAGTCACAGCGTGGTGTGACTGCCTGTACGTGTGTTTGTGTGTTCGAGAGTGTCTTAAAGATGGGGGAGCACAGATGCTGATGCCTGGAGATGAGGTGTGAAGGAGAGAGGGCTTGATGAGTCTATGATCGCTTTTTTCTGCTCTCAAAATTTCTGAAGTTGGCCGGCCTTATCTTCATCTCTGCAAACTGGATCGAGTGTTCGTGGCCCTTCCAGTGGAACCAGTTGATCCCCTGTGGAAAACCCCCCCAACAAAACCCCCCCAAACAATACAAATCATCAGCTTTTCCTAAACTACACATCCAACAGTGAGCAGGGAGCAAGTTTCACTGGGAAAAATCTGATTTTTTCATTAGATAATTCAACTGCTTATGGCTCGTGTTATGGTTTACCACTTCATTTTCTGCGATGCGTGTGAAACGTACCTTACTGTGACTTTTGTCGCCATATTTCCCCATGAGGTTGACACGGTGACAGTTTTTATACCAAAAGGCGCCTTTGTAGGACAAGGCGCAGTTGGTCACAGCGATATCGTTATCATTGTCGTAAGTGGAGAAGGGCCGACCCTGGTGGTAGGTCATGGAGTCACCTGGTGGACAAATGAGTATTATTCAATTAAGGCAGTCTGATGAGCTTAACTGGATTTGTCAAAGTGACTTTTCTTAGAAATAATTTGACATTCTAGGAAATACGTTCAGTTTATTGCCAAGAGTTTAATGAGAACATTCGTCACTGTCAAAACTGCACGATTTAAAATGCATGATTAAATTATGTCTTTAAGGAAACAGCTGTGAGCTCGTTTGTACTTCAAAAGTCTGGAAAGATAAACCTAAGGTTTTAAGACAGAAAACTTATTTTGAAGAAAAAATAATTCCCCAAAAAATTCTTTTGAATTATTTGTTGTTGTTTTTTAATAAACTGTGCGGACAAAATGTGATCAAAACGGGAATAGTGTCACATTTTCTAGTATTTCCAGATTATGTCTTTTTTCTTCTTCTCCAGTGCATTCAATACCATTGTACCCACAATCCTGAGGGACAAGCAGGAGTACACAGTTGTCGACCAACACCACGTGGATCCTGGACTACCTGGCAAGGTAGTCCATACTGCCATCAGTATGTAAGGATCCAGAAGTGTGTGTCTGATAGGGTCTTCTACAGGCGCCCCTCGGGGAACAGTTCTATTCTATTCTCCTTATACACCACAAGACTTCACCTGCAACTCTGAGCACTGCTTCCTGCAAAAGTTCTTGGATGACTCAGCAGTTGTTGGTCTCATGGCTGATAACAGGGAGTACAGAGAAATTACTTTGTTGACGGGTACCAGCGGAACCACCTACAGATCAGGTACAAACATCCTCGACATACACCCGTGAACATCCAGGTAATGGATGCTGAGCGCATCGACTTATATAAGTACCTAACACCCTAACTAGACTGGATTAACAATACAAAAGCCATTTGCAGGAAAGGACAGAACAGGCTGTATCTGCTATGGAGACTCGGTTCTTTTGGAGAGCAGGGGCATCTCTTGAGGACCTCCTATGACTGTGGTTGCATCGACCCTCACTTATGGTTTGCTCTGCAGGGCAGCAGTATCTGCTCTGGAGACAGGAAGAAAATGAACTGGCTGATCAAGAAGGCCAGCTCTGTTTTGGGATGCTAGCGGAGGTGGTGGGTGACAGCAGAATGGTGGCTAAGCTGTCATCCCTGCTAGAGAACACCTCCAACCCCCAGGCAGGTCACCCTGACAGCACCGAGCAGCTCCTTCAGTGACAGGCTGCTGCACCCACGGTGTGCAAAGGAGAAATATCCAAGGTCTTCCTTTCCAGCTGCTGTCAGACTGTATACGTGAAAATGCACCACACACTGTACATATTTCAGTGTGGATCTGAAATGCCAAGTGTATCACTGTATCACATTTACATCTACATATCCATATATTTATATGTAAATAATATTTCTTCTGCCTTGTATAGTGTACATTTTTCTTCCGTTGTTGTTTCATCTATTTATTCCTGGTCTCTTCGTTCTGCTGCTCTAGCAATCTAAATTTCCCAACAATGGGACTAATAAAGCCTCTTATCTTATCTGGTCTTATCTTATCTTTCGTGGTGGCTACGTCTGAATCACTGAGTGTCTCAGGATCATAAGATTTTATGTCCCTATATTCACTTTATTAAACTTTAAAGAGGGCGATATAGCTGCTGAGACAGTTGTGTTCGGTGCAGTGCCCTCGTGTCTTGGCTCAGACTCAGATAATTGAATGATACTCAAAAATTTATATTGTGACACTCAGAGTGAGTGTGTTTTTTTTCCAACCTGACGGGCTCAAAAGGATTAGTGTAAACTTTCAAGCAAATACTCCGTAATTAATGGGCTGTGAGTCAAAAAATATTGACAGTATAAACATAAAATTTGGCTTCATTATATAAACTAGACAAAAAAAATCTGCTTATTCTGAGAGGTTCAACTGAACTGAGCCTTTATTAAACTTACTGGAAGGAAACAAGAGTGAATACCATTCTCTTGTCTAATGTTAAAGTACAAAGTAAATACTTGTACTCCCCAACATGTCAGGCTATTTCATTAAAGTGATACCAACCTGCTGTTCCACTATATGTTCCTATGTAGACTTTATAGCGTGTCCTTGGCTCTGCAATTGTGAACTTGTCATATTGCGCGTAGGCAGTCTCCCCGTTGTCCCTCAAGTCCACTCGCAGCTCATAATGGCCTGAAGATGTGATTTTATGGAGGTTGGAGAGACCTACAACCCAAGTTTAATATGTGTGAGTCAGGAGGGCAGTGAGTGAGGGAAACAAAGCAAATACGGTTCCAGAATGAGCGAGCTTACCCAGCCAGAACTCATCGTTCATGTTACCAAAGCCAGCCGTGTAGTTCTTCCAGTTCCTGAAGAATTCCAGCTTTCCATTCTGGCGTCTGAGGAAAACCTGAAGAGTACCGACTCTCATGAGTGTCAAAACAGCTTCACAGCAATCATAAGAAGCTAGGCTAAGGCCACTGTGGTGCTGTCTATCATTTGTCATCAGAAAAACAGGTGCCACATAAGCAGAATCATCAGGATTCAGCTTGAATAACGGTGTGAAACTGGCTTTATTTGGATTCCAGAAGGCTGATTTCCTCACCAGCCATCCTCCGCCATCTGTGGTCATGTCACAGTAAACCTGGATGGGCTGGCTCTCCTCTCCTCCAATATAGATGGTATACAGACCAGAGGTCGTCTCTCCGTTCAGTAATATCTGAGCACAGTCCCGTGGGCGTCTGTACAACTGTCCGACTGAAAAGCACATATTAAAAAGGCATCGTGTTAGAGACCCTGAAGGATGCGCTCACTTATTTTTCATCCCTGTTAAATAAACAAGGCATGAGGCTGTATATAGCATCCTGAGAGAGGACTACGGAACGGGGGAGGGCTAAACAAAGGAGAAAGAAGGTTATTCCATCTGGAGCTCAGCTCAGACAGAAAGAAAAACAAGCACAGGTGATCTGGCTCCAATATCAGTGCAAATGAAAGGAATGCACATTAGAAGATCTCTTTCTAATGTGCATCTGGACTGTTGCATAACAACCAAACCCTTCACTTCTGAGAAAGCAGCAACAAGTCCAGTGCTCCCAATTTTCAGCTATACGTACACATTAATTAAGAAGAGGTTTGTGTGTGTTTTAATGCTTACGGGTAGTGAAGACGGTGGCCACGTGGCGACTCCTCTGGGCTCCAGCGGCAGCCTGCAGTTTCACATTGTACTCCGTGGAGCCAGTGAGCTGTGACATACTGTAAGACGATGCTGTTGGACTTAGCATCACCTCCTGAATTCATGCAAGACACACACATTATTTACACCAATGGCATTTCTTAACTGATTACTATAGTGGCTCGAAGTGCAGGACACAGAATCATTTCAGAAAACATGACAACACCATGAACATTGGAATGGATTGAACCCAAGAGCATTATGATGGGTTGATGTCATTTCCTTGTTCTATACTATTCCCTCAAACTGAAAGAAAGAAAGACGAGATTGCAATCGTAAGGCAATATTTTAACAAAGAACACTGATAAGCTGGATTTCATAAACTACAGATGGTGAAAAAAGGAGAAGGAATCCTGCACTGCGTCTGTTTCTGTTTCAGGGCATGCAGCTCTTGGAAATCATCCAGAACTCATCATGATATCATTTCTTATTGTTTGTGTTTTTTTTCTGTTTTCTGAAATGTTGTGCAAAATGCACATTAGGACCTAACAATCTATCAGAGCTCCACATTTTACTTTTTAAATTTCACAAATGAAGGTTTTCTCAGCAGAGAAGCCTTTCAACAGCGATAAGAAAAAACTCCCTTTTAACAGGAAGACATTGGCAGACTTTGTCTCAGGCAAGGCAAGGAAACAGGACAAAAAAGACACTGTGGAGAAGAGTGAAAAGAGACGAGCGAAGATGAAATTCTCAGAGCATTATGGGAAGCCCCCTGCAGCCCAGGCCTATTGCAGCATAACTAAATGTTCAGAAACTTGTGCTTTCAACGACAGTTAGAAAAACTGAAAAAACACGGCAAAACATATCTGTTGTCAAACGATATAATGACACGGGCATGTACGTACCCTGATTGTTCCATCAGCAGAGGAGAAGCTGAGCATGTATCCAGTGACAGCAGCAAGAGGTGGTCTCCACTTCAGAGTGGCGCTGTCAGTTTGAATATTCATAGCTATCAGATCGCGAGGAGGGTCGACATCTGCAAATACAGCATCACATTAATCATTCGGTACAGCTGATGTGGTTAAGAAATCAGCGCATGTTGCTTAAGGTTATATTGACGCTGATATACTACATATAAAAGACAGACAGAGATGTGGGAAAACCAGATGTTTCTATGGCAGGATTTTTTCAATCACGGGCAGATTCACCTCGAAGAATAAGCTACTTTTAATCTTTTTTTTACTCTAATGGGGCCCCTAAATTACAAAAACAAGACTTGAAATTAGCAAATGAGACCATAAACACATCAGGAAACTGTTTATAATATGGCTCGGAAATATGGGTGTAATTAAATTGAATTTTGCTGTTTTTTGTTGTGAAATTACAATGTAATTATATATACAAATACAAAGCTAGGTACACCAGAATAATGGGGTAACAAGTCAGTCTTTAACAAGAAACAAAGAAATAATTTTACTGTGTGCAAATTTAAGTAATGTGTAAGTAATGTTAAAAACTGCTACAGTTACAGAAAATGATGGTTACGGGGCTGGAGTCGGCACCAGTAATGGACAAACAGCCAATTGGATCCTCCGGCTCAGTGCTGGTGAAATTATTTTGGGTCTTCCACTTGACTTTTTTGTTCCATAATCCTCAGGATCATTTAAGAAATTCCAAATAACTGTCTTACTGCGTCCCACCTCAGCAGCGATGACGCACTGCGAGAGATCCTGGTTATGCAGCCTAACAACCCAAATATGTGCAAAAAAGGAACGTTTTTTTGTCTTTGCCATGAGAACGTCATCACAGTGTGACTACCTGCCAGAAAATGAGAATGAATCCACATTTTTGCACAGATTTGGCCTTTTAAAGGCATGTGGTCCTAAACTTTTGATCAGCTGTAAAGCAGCATGTTTCAGTTTAAGTGTTGTTGTCAATAAATTGCATGCTCAAAAACATGTTTTGTCTCACTCCCATTTCTTGTTGTTGCATATTGAAGTTCTTCTTGAAACCTTGTTAAGATCCAACCATGCAAAATGAAAATCTTTAGTAATATTCCATATTATAGAGTGTTCCCCATCTTTTATATTAAGCAATACTTTTATACAATCTGGACATCTTTCTGTATTTACCTGTGGTGAATTCGGTAACAGCAGAAGCACTCCTGTGAGCTTCTTTCATAGCATGAACTCCCACTGTGTAGTGGGTTGCTGGAACCAAGGAGTTCATCTCAAACTCCACAATGTTCCCAGAAACGTGCTCCACTGTTGGGGACACTGTAGGGCAGGAATTAAATTATGCAATCAATACAAAGTCAGTTAAAATGAACAGAAAGCAAGCTCGTTTAAAATCAGAGACACACCAGAATCAGCACTGTAGGTAATGATGTAGCCATCAACAGTGGCGACAGATGGTTGCCACAGCAACAGGGCCGAAGTGTCCGTGACATTGATAACAGTAAGACCACGAGGTCTGTCCAAACCTGTGGAGCACGAGGAAGATCACAGAGAAAACGTGTGGGGTCAGTACATTTTTAACTGACTCCAGTGTCGCCGGAGTCAAATCGCTGCATAAGAGAAAAAAGCCAACCTGTGGTCACAATATCTGTGCTGGGGTCACTTTCCTCCAGACCCTTCAGAGCACTGACGGTTACTTGGTACGTCTTTCCGGGAATCATATTGGGAAGCAAAGCCTCGAACACGCTGCCATCTACAGTCAATGTCATTGGGCTTCCTGTGGGGGAGAGAGAACAAACACATGTACTATTGATTCAAAGACAAGCTTGTCAAGAGGTGTCAGATTTTATCTATCAGTGTGTTTCCACTGTACTGAACAACATGTACTAAAGCTCTTCACGTACTTTGTGGTGGGTGGTGATAAATGTTTGAGTACTGGAGATTGAGGCCAAGAGAAGCCTTTGTAAGGCTGAGATAAATGCTTACATCAACTAAAAAATGACAAACTGATTACAACCACAGTGCGCCGTATTGCTAATGATAGTGTATTACTTTCATTACTCAAGAGCATGGTCCTGTAATTTATGATTTACGATGATAAAGTGAGCTTCCTCAAAACTAGCAGCTAAAAACAAATTTGCTCTTGCTCCAAACTGCGTGTCTGTACTATGTAGATCAGGCGTGCGCAGATTTCCTGTGTTCAGCTTCTCATCCATGCTCATGTACTCACAAATCATCTTTGTGTGCTATGAATCGTATAATACAAAAAAAATATTTTTTCTTTTTTCTTCGTTTTGTCATTGTTACACTATGTGTTTTATTCTATTGTGAAGTGTCCTTGGGTGTCTTGAAAGGCGCTCTTAAATAAAATTGATTAATATTATTATTAATAATACCTTGTTTGGTATTTCCTTTCTATCTGTTATTATCTAATAAAAGCAACAATCATTAAAGAGGATTTATTGCTTATTTCATTAGTGGGCTCCATTGATGGATATTAAATATGGCTAAAGTTTCTAATAATGTGGTCAGTAGATTTGTAAGTAATCCCTGTGAGTCAGAGGCTCAGACTTCAGACTGCACAAAACGCTGTGTGTCTGCTCTTGAGTCTCACTGATTGCATAGCGAGTGGATCGATTAGCAGGTTGTGACAGTTTAAACAGTAACCTTACCCACCTGCTGAAAGAAAGTTGGCTTAAAGGGAAGGGACCTTCTTTCACAGACTGGGTCAACTGAGGGGCTGCATCAAGTAAATAACTATTATATTGAACTGAATCATGCACAACTACTCTGGCAGAGTGGATAAAAAAAATATTGAGCTGGAAATTGGTCTTCTTAAAAAAATATTTTTATAAGATGAAAAATCTCCAAGTAGTGCAGTGCCAATAGTATCAAATGATGTTGACACTGAGATGTTCCCGGTTAGCCTGAGCAGGTATCTTACCTTTAAAAGGGTTTATATTTCCTTTCTTTCTGAACTTTGCTATATAGCTCCCTCTTGTACAGATTTTGCATTGACAATAAACATATTGCACCATTTTTAGAATAGCTCGACAACTATGTGACTCTGTCACTGAACTGTGGTAAAAGGTTGGCCAGTAATTGAACCAAGGACATGCTGTTAAAGGCCTTAATTTCATCTGGTGAGCCCACTAACCAATCAGCTGTCAGAAAGAAAGGCAGGATGAAGGGCTATAGCAGAAACACAGGAACTCTGTACAAGCAGCACATGACAGGCATGTGACTTGAGTGCAGACGTGCAGCTTTGAGCAAGAGCAGAACAAATCTGCATACAGGGAGGGATCGTTTCACTTCTGGGAAGATCACTGAGTAGCCAAAGATGAAAATGAAAGCACACGTTTTCAAACAAAAGGACCATCCTCTTGAATAAAGAAAAAGAATTTTCCTCAAGATATTTACAATGTTTGCAATCTTAGATTAGCATGTTAGAAGTTTTGCTCCTAAGCCTGATGGGGAATGTCACTGACATGGATTTAAAAAAATCATGGAAAATTTAAGTTTTCCAGAGACTAGAAAAGCATCAGCATCACTGATGTCAGAGGAGTTGATACATTTTTTCAGATTTATTGAAAAGTGATATCTATAGAATTGTTGATATTTTATACATTTAAATGTATAAAATTCATTGTTTACTGGACCAAGTGTTTGCCAGTGTGACGCCATTAGCATGGTAACGTACCAGAAGCACCAACAGAACATCAAAAAGATTTTAATTCACTATTATCTTGAACGGTGCAATAATAAATAAATAAAAAACCTCGACCAAATAAGCATTAATAAATGTCACTGATCTGTACAGAATTCATCACACCTGTGAGCCAATGTGCATTGCACAGCAGTACTTTAACAGAATGTCAGCCATTACTGTAGTTTGAACAGTATGGAAACACCGCAGGAAGAGCACACAACAAATAACATGCAAATTAAGTCCTCAGCGGTCCGCCTGTTTCCAGTGCTTAGCAGCGTTACACTGAGCGTAGTTTAGCGGGTTTGCCAGCTGGAAGAGAGTCGCTCTTCTTCACATTCTGACTGTGTGAGAGCTGCACAGAGAAGTGAACGCTGTTACTGAAAGTCTGTTTCTGAAATTAGAAAGTGAAACTAAACTGATAAGTGAATTATTTTTGATATTATCACATGCATGTTCCTGACATGTCATCAGTATAGCTGTTATTTTCAACATCAGTATATCTGATGAACACGGACACAACAACGAAGCTAAAATTAAAACTGTTTAATTAAATTCAACCTTAAATGTAACTTGTATAAACAATGGTTGACCTCTTACCTCCCTCAAATAGCACATAGGTGATGCGGTAGTTATCCACCGGAGAGCGAGGCATGGACCAGTGAACTACGGCTGAAGAGTCAGTCACTTCAGAGAAGTGAAGTCCTCTGGGAGTGCTGAGGCCTAACAAAAAGCAAATGGATTTGCGCAGAGAGCAAAAAAGCAAAGTAAAAATTGTAAGTATTGTAAGTAAGTATGTGAAAACACAGAGTTTTTCCCAAAAGGACGTTTTTCGACAGACGTGAAGTTTCAAAGAAACCAGAGGAATAAAGATGATTAGTGGGACACTGGGTTGAGTTCTCTGAAGTCGAATGTCGCACTGAAAACTCAGAAAGTTTGGTAGTTAACATGAGACTGCACACTTTGCAGTTTTTCAATATACCTGTCTGAACAACCCCTGTAATAGGTTGGGAGCGCCGATCCAGTGTGGCACCGTAAAGCTCGATTTCATACTCGGTGCCACCCATAAGTCCGGTTATGACCTTGGTTCGTTGATCGCCGCGGACGCTGTGCTCTTGAGGATGGGCTAACCTTTTGCTGTCTCTTATTTTGATCACAAATCGGTCAAACAGATCTTCATTGGCAGTCCACGTCAGACGGAAACTGTCAGCTGTGACGTCTGAGACAAAGAGATGCTCCACTTCTGGCTCAGCCTCTGGTTAAACAGGGAAACATTAACGTTGCAGCGCGTCTGGTGATTTCCCAGCAATATTCATCACGTTCTGAGAAACACCCACAGGGATCAGTTTGGAAGAGGTCAGAAATCGGGCAAGACAGGATTAGGTTCCAGCCTGAGGGCCTTCTTGTCCACCGCCACCAATCTGCCATGCTTAGGCATCCATTAGTGTTAATCAGTCAAAAATACAGCGCATGGACTACAGAGGCATATGCTTGAATGAAAAGACAAGATGCTTTTTGTAGATGTCAGTCAACAGAAGGATTCTTTCGGAAGGATTTCAGCATACACTTGCTGAAATGCGTCCTCAAGGCCAGCCTGGATGCATTCAGTGCATTTAAAAGTAATGGCAGGTGACAAACGAGATTAGAAGCTAAATCAACAGACATTTCATGCTCAGAATATCTGCTGATTTATCCGTGTTTTCCTGCATATAAAAATGTCATTTTCGATTGAGTGGTTCATATCCATCCAGGGAGTTTGAACCTGATCTACAAACCAGCCTCACTAGGGAGCAACATGGTGCAATAATTGGATTTTGTCCATAGATATCTGTCTGACTATCAGCGAATAAAATGCGAAGGAAAACACATTTTAAAATATGAAGACAAACAAATGTGCTTGCTCATATTTTGGAGGTAAGAAGAAACAGACGGGAGCTCAACACCTCTTCCTCTCGGTGACACAGCTGCATACCGAGGAGATGCTTAAAACCAAGGAAAAGTGAGGTCATACTGGAAAAAAAGTTCATCTGAGTTAGGGTTAGGTAAGAGTACTGAACTGAAGTCTCACCATCAAAACGTGGCACTGAGTTAGATATATCCGTCCTCGGGCCAATTTTGTTACACAATGTCTTTTGTTGCGTGAAATGAATATCAGTGATTAGTAAATATCACAGAACTGCACCAGGTTGTGATAGTGAAACTGCAGAGCTGAAATGGTTATAATAGTTATACACGTATACACCCATGGTAGCTTCAACAAAGTCAGACACTGGACTTTGTTGTAAGACAGGAGGGCTTACAGTGCACTGAGTTGTACCTGTCACAGCCACTGCAGTCAGAGGCCGAGAGAGAAGCCCTGACTCTGACACCCCTGTCAGTCGGACCTCATAGCCTATGCCGGTAATGAGGCCCCCGATGTCCAGGTGACTTTGGTTTCCTGGCACAGTGAACTCCTGAGCCTTCAGCAGCCAGCCAGAGTCTGTCACCACTATGTGGAAGTGGCTGAAGCCACCACTAGAGGGGGTTAGATTATCCTGCGGTAGCTGATGCTTCACCCCCCACGACACACGGAAGCCATAGGGGGTTATGTTGGAAATGGTCAAGTTTTCCACTTTAGGCAAAGGAGCTGAGAGGAATGTGGGTTTAATTGAATGGGAGGAAGGAGTGTGTGTGGGGGGAGGGGGAAGGGCAGGAGGGGGACGAGACTTCATTAGGAGGATAACGTGTGCAATGGTTGCAAAAGCAAATACAGAGACAGTTCTTTTACAAGGTAATAGTTATAGGCCAAAACACACTAAGGGCAAATCTAGCATGCATCATAATTTAGTACTTTGTCCTCACACTATCTAACGTGGCAAACACAGAAGTGCTAAAAAATGCATTTCCTTGAATGGCCACTTAAGACTGAGTTACAGCATGAAACAAATGCAATTTTGGTGTCTTTTTATATTGGTTTTCTTCATGACAATTGCACGTACGTTGCTCACTTTGACTGGCAGATATGCTGACACAGGCGGTTGTAACCAGCAGCCACTTAAGGCCCCAGTAACACAGTCCTAGAGACTTCTATTGGCAACCAATAGTTGCTGAGGTAAAAGTATTCCAGTGGTTGTTGGAAGTTGAAATCAATCACTAAGCCCAAATTACATGGGTCTAAGACCTATCAGTGAACACATAACAACCACTGGTTGCTAGAGAAAAATGCAAATTCCCTAACTGGTTTTCAGTTGGTTGTGGGAGGTGTTATTTCCTATTCCTCAGTGCTTAATTGAAAGCCCCCAGTAGCCAAAGCTTCCTTAACTTGACCTGACCCAAACTATAAGTTTTTAAGCCTAATAAAAGTAGAGTAAGTGTCTATATATTGAATCCAAACTGGGAGCTGGTTCCATAGTAAAGTCCGATAGCTGAAGGCTCTGGTTCTGATTTTACTTTTGAAAACTGCAGGGTCCATTTTGAGAGCAAAGTGCTCCGTTAGGGTTAAAATATGTCAGGGCCTGAATATTCATTATTGTTATTTTGCGCATGAGGAGAAGGATTTTAAATTCAGCTCTGAACAGACAGCCAACAAAGAGAAGCTATTATGGGAGAAATATCCTCTCTCTTTCTCGTCCTAATGGGTACTCTCACTGCAGTGGTCAACTGAAGGTTTTTGAAGGAGCTTTTAGAGTGACCTGATTATAATGAACTACAAAAGTCCAGCCTGGAAGTAATAAATGCATGAACTAGCTTTATCACTCTGAGACAGGATGATTCAGAATTTAGCAATATTGTGAAAATGAATGTAGGTAGTCCTCTACATTTGTTTAATGTGCATGCTGAAGATGCCTCACAGTGTTATTGGAGGCCAAGGTAATGTCATCTACCTTTATGTCTGTAGTTTATATTTAGATAAACCTGGATGTCATCTGCATTGAAATTAAAATGTATGCAGTGTTTCCTAATAATAGGTATGTATAATGTAAATGTAATTGGTCCCAGCAAAAAATCCTTTGTGAATAACGTCTTTGTGGGAAGAAGACTAGCAGTTTAGTTGAATAAATTGGAGTCTATTTGAGAGATACGAGCTAAATCATTGCAGCGTAGTACCTTTAATACCTGCACATGTTTTAAAATATTGCTGGACTGAGGTCTGACAGGACAAGCACAGAGATGAGCCCACTGTCAAAGGCCATAAAAAGATCATTCAAAACCTTTACTAGCTCTGTTTCTGTGCTATGATGCACTCTAAATCCTGAATGATACTCTTAAAATAAACCATTGTTTTGCAAATGACCAGTTAACTGTTTGTCAGCTACTCTTACTAGAACTATTTTGAGACCAAACAAAGATCTTCTAAATTAGTAAGATAATATTTCTTCTCTAACATTAAAGTGGCGTGTGGGAGGGCTCCACTTTGAGAGAAGCCACTAAAACCTAATAAAAAACTAAACAAGGCTGTCATTTTCAACAACTACATGGATGTTAAACTTGCCTGAAATAATTGTTTTATCTGAACTGAGAAATAAATGAGATAAAAAGTCAAAGAAATCAACTTCAAATTCTGAGGACAAGCCAGGTGGATGATTATTAACACATAAAAATGGTTTATAACTTCTCCGGTTAGGGTGGAAAAGGTTAAGAGTCGGGTTTCTAAATTCTGTTTAGCTCTTTGGTTGTTTAATAAGTTGGAGTGAAAGATGGTTAAAAGGTGCATGTATCCATTACAAGATGTTAGCGTATCCTAAACGATTATCCTTCTTTCTCACTATTTGAATGACCATCATTTTCAAAATGGGCGTAAAATATTCAGAATGGCTTGAAGCCCAAGAAGTTTTAAGTAAAAAGGTTTATTGCACTCATACAGGAAGGCTTGAGGCTTTTTGAAACGTAAATAGATATAGAATGCAGGTTTAAAGCATTTCCATACTGGTTTCCCTAGTGCAGGGATGATGAACTCCAGGCCTCGAGGGCCGGTGTCCTGGGTCAACACACCTGAATCAAATGAACCCCATTACCAGGCCTCTGGAGAACTGCAAGACATGTTGAGGAGGTCATTTGGCATTTAAATCAGCTGTGTTGGATCAAGGACACATCTAAAACCTGCAGGATTACCGCCCCTCGAGGCCTGGAGTTTGACACCACATCTGTTTTATACTGACTATGGATGTTTCAAGCATCAACAAATGCTTGCTGATTATGAGCATCAGAAAAAAAAAACAATAGCTGCTTGTGATGCATGTCAGCTTTGCTCTTAAGGTGTTTCGGGATTTTGACCTGCATATTAAATTCATTTAATTTTAGTTAAACTGATAAAAGGAGCTAAATTCCTTTTTAGTTTTGGTGGAAAAAAGTATACTTCAAGTATTAGAATAAAAGATATGAGTAAAATACATAGTACCTGTGACAGCGTGGGCTAACACTGTGGGGGTGTGACGCCCATGAGAAATACCGTATAGTTCAATATCATAGCCTGTAGCATCCATCAGGTTAGTGACTGTAATGTTACGGACATCACCAGGCAATCTGAACTCCAGTGTCTCAGACTGCTGCTCAGAATCACTGACTCGGATAACAAAGCCATCAAAATGACCTGACACAGTGCTCCAGGACAAGCTGAGGTTATGTGGACTCGCAGATGAAGCAGCTATGGGCCCCAACTGTGGGATGTCCTCTGAATAAAAAAAGAACACGGCTTTTCAGTTATGTCGTCCTGCATACATGTACATAACAATGTAGGCGGCATGTCCAGTGTCAAGAAATGCAAGTCATGTGATACCTGTTGTAGCTACAGCAAATAGGGGTTGTGTGTTCTGGCCATCAACACCAGTGGCATACAGCTTTATGTTGTAGCCCGTGCTCGCTTTGAGCCCCGCCATTACTGTGGAGCGCACGTCTCCAGGCAGAGCGCGCCCCATTGCCTGCGAGGGCAAAGCAGACTCTCTGACTTCTACTATAAACTTATCAAAAGCCTTCTCTCTTGTCCGCCAAGACAGAGAGAATCTGTCTGAGGTAATGTTAGAAACAACTAGCTTGGACAAATCAGGCTCTTCAGCTACAGGGGAGAGAAAATATAAAATATATGCATTTATTAAAAAAAAGGATAACACATGTATTTGTCACTTTAAAACCCAAGTCAACTTTAGAGTGAAGGTAACAACAATTCTCTTGGAGACTAATGATTTGATACACATAAAACCAATTACCTGTCGATGCAACAATACTGACTGCACTTGTTCTGGATCCCTTGTACGTTCCATAGAGGTAGGCTATGTAATCAGTGCTGGGCCTGAGCCCTGTGACATCATAGGACTTTACATCATGGGATATGTTATACTCCTTTGGCTCCATCAGCCAATCAGAATCAATTATCTCCAGGACAAAACCATCAAACTCTCCTTCAGTGCCATTCCAGAGGATTGAAAAGCTCTCTGACGTTAAGTTCATGATATATATTTTGCCAACCACTGGTTGATTCACTAAAGAAAGAAACCATGATTAGATTGTCACCAAGGCATTTATGCAGAAAATGTTATTATTAAATGACAAGTAAATGATTAGAAACTGATCTTTTTCTACAAAGAAATACATTTAGCGTTACGGGATGCTCACCACCACCACCAACAGTAACTGTTGCCAGTCTGAGAAGCTGTGATTAAATACATGCATGTATTTTTTTTTGTATTAAACGCAAAGCAAAAATCCTGCACCACAGTTATTTAAATACAATTAGATCCAGGATTTTTTAAACAGAAACACAATCTTCACAATTCTAACTGTGGCTGCCACCGCAATAGGTTTGCAATACACAACCATGAGGCAACTGAAGCACAGACTTTTCAAATTTAATTCAAGGGGAACAAGAATGATGAGGTAAATATTAAAAATCCGCCCGTATCCTGGATTCCAAAAAAAAGCTGGACCACTTCTAAAACTGAAAGCGTATGGAGATACCCGATGATTTCAAACATATAGAAACACCGTAAAACACAGTGAAGAGAGTATGTACAGCCATGCATGGTTTCTAAAGCTACCAGGCCAGACGTGTTTATTGCTAATGTGACCGAACACAGAAGCAGCTGGACAATTTCTGAAGTATGCAGACCTTTAATGTCTCCGGTGATTCAGCCAAATGCAGCAAAGCTGATTGGATAGCATTTTACAGAGAATACTATGAAAGCAATTCAACTCAACATTTAAAAAGCACTGCGCATTAAAATGGCTGTGATTTCTCAGCTGTGGCAATGCAGCATTCTTGTTACACCTTGTAAATTAAAGTTGAAAGTCTGTGTTTGAATTGTATCTCAGTGTGTCCCTTAATATTGCTCGTAGAGCCGTGTTCAAAATTAAGAGAATTGTGTCACTGTAAAAATATTGGAAACCAAATATACTCTTTTCTTTACCTTGAATATAAGCAACATGTAAAGCCAAGGAGAGAAACTCAAAAGGCCTTCAAAATTACCTGCAAGTTTGAGTTGTTAATCACTGACTTAAATTTGAAAATGTGATTAAGCAGATTTCATGCATATGTAGCATGGTTTGGACATGTTAATGCTGATCAATTCAATGCATAACGCTTGCAAAGCAATTCAAAGCAGATGAGTTAGAGAGCTAGTTAAACTTCATTTACATGTTGCAGGAAATATAGTCCTTACATGCAAGCATGCAATAAAAACAAAATTCAGATGTAAATCGAGGTGATGCTACTGTTAGCTTCATTTTATGTTATTAGCTTTTTACCTTGATAGTGACAAGAAGGTTTAATCATTTGCCACCTAGCAGTCCAAAAGGTAATGACCTGTGTTTACTTTGATGTTCCGTGAAAATAAACTTAATCAGAATCCACAAAACCACCCCAGCGTCATTCACACAAACTGAAAGATGACATGGATACTCACGCATACTGTGAGTGCTTGCACATCGACGGGCAAATGATGGGTCACGGTTAATCAATTATACGCTGAATGAGGGCTGATGAGATGAAAATGAGATTATCGCACTGTTGCTGTATGACTGGCGGGGAGAGTTATTGGTTTGCTTTTGCAATCATTGCAGCACATCAGCGCCAGACCGGACCACAATGCAGGGATGGCGGGGGGGGGGGGCTTCATGCACTTTGGGATGAGGGGAGCAGTCGGAGGTAAGTCAAGGGGTTTGGGTCAGTGATGAGGCACATGTACGCATCACCCTGCCCTCTCTCAGCTAGACAGAATCAGTGGCTGGAGGGTGAGGAATGGTAAACGGCATGTTGGTTAAGATGAAGCAGTAAAGTGCACTGTGTCCAGGGTGTTGGACATTGAGGCCATAAACAACAATTGGGTTATTATCATGATGTTCTTGTTTCATGCTGCGAGGTGAAGATGCTCCACTGAGAGTGAGACAACAGAGCTATTTATGTGTATGCTTCACAGATGTTGACTTTAGTAGAAATTATTCATGGAAAAGAAGGACAGTTTAGAGGACAAAAGGCTGCAACGCTGCAAGTTGCAGGTACCTGTGGTGGCTTCACTGTACACAGGTTCAAGGAAGGAGCCCTGATACATCCCATACAGGCCAACCATGTAGCTGGTGTTGGGATTCAGCCCAGAGATACCCAGGCTCAAAGCGTCTCCGGACAGAGTGAGGTTCTGGCTCTCTGCAAAATTCTCCAGGTTTGTTACCTCAATCACAAAGCTGTCAAAGTCCCCACTCGTGGGGCTCCAGGACGCAGTGAAGCCATCCCATGTTATGTCAGACATGGTGAGGTTCACCACCATTGGCGTCAGCATCTCTGGTAGATAGACATATCAGACTGGGGTCAGCTGGACAGTAAGATGGATTATGCATTTCATTTTAAGGCAAAAAAAAAAAAAGTACATCAGGAGTATGAGGAGCAGAGTGGGGAAAAAATCTCAGATTTTGAGATAAAATTGCAAACACTTGAACACATAAAAGTGATGATCACCTCTTTCATTGAATTTTGAGTGTTTGAATCAACCTTGTTACATCTGTGGTGTTACTGGTCAAGAGCGACCATAGGAAATGAATGGGAATCCACTCAACCCCTCCCCCATTGGCTGAATGACCTACTGAACAACCCACTGAACGGCCCACTCAACTGAATTTAGTGGTGAAAAATGTTTGTGTTAATTTAAAACAGACCGCTCAATTTTGACCAGGAACACTAAAGTAAGGGGGGTGGGGGTGCACAAAACTGGAGGGTTAAAAAATGAATTTTTTATGGGTTGACTTAAAACTAGGCATTGGGGACACGAGTACCTAGATTGGCTAAGCATTTGACCTTGACCTTTACTATTAGCGCCCAAGGACAAAGTTAAAATATTTCAAGAAGCTATATTAAGTAATATATCATATGAACATCACAGGCTGACATCATCATGTTGTAATAAAAACATAATAAAGCATCAAACTTTTAGTATAGTAATAGTCCTTCGAGGGACTTGTGAAATAAAAAAAAAATAAAATAAAATACCTAAATATTGAACATTAAACTCTAATCACTTTCATTTTAATCACAAAATAATTTTTCAAAAAACATTTTACACTCTTAATTGAAATGTTTGATATTAAAGTATTGAGTGTTGTATATTTGATATATTGCAGTATATTGTATATTTATAATATATTTGACAGTAGAGTCAAAATTGAATACTAATATTTAATTTTGAGTTCATTATCAGAATTAAATAATATATTCTTAATATAATTTGAAGTATTCTAACTTTTAACAAATTCTACCAACAACATGTTAGAACTTTCCTTCATTTTGTCATCACGTTTATATTGTTCGAGTTTCAACTTTCAAAATTAGAAGTCTCTTTGTTAAATGCACATTAAATCTCAAAATCTCAGATTTTTTGTGGACCTAATACTTTGTTGTGAGGAAATCAGAAGTTCAGCAAAAGACAAGATTAGATCAATGAGGATTATCTTTTACAATAAAACATGAAGTATCTGTGGAAAAAGAAATGATTGAACCATTCTGAAATGTTCAGACATAGGAGATAAAAGATATGATGATGATGGATTGAGATGAAGGGCTACAATAAGAAATATTTGTTCCATGTACCTGTAGTAGCAAAAACTCTGAGAGGCAAAGATCGCTCCCCTTCCACCAGCCCTTGCAATGTAATATCATAGTGTGTAGCAGGGGACAACCCTTCTATTTCAGCCTTCCTCATATTTCCTGGTACCGTGGTCACACGAGGTTGCGTTGTTGCTGACGGAGCAGTAAGCTCCACCAAAAAGCTATCGAACGCCTCATCGGGCGCGGACCACGCCAGCTTTACACTAGTGGCGGTAACACTGACTGTGAGATCCCCGAGTAGGTCCAAGCCTGAGCTGTCAGGCTCGGCACCGGAGCTTAACCCGCCAGAATCAGAAGTGGAAGTTACTTCATTTTTTAAAGTATCGAGGATGTCTGGGTTTTGAACAGCTTCATTATCCGGAACAGACTGTGGGAGCGTTGAGGCATCTTTGATACTCAGCGTAAGCACATCTGGAGATGTGGGCTTGGGTGCTAAGTGAATAAAAGAAGGTTAAAGAATGAATTTCTTATTGGCTCTGCTGGAAACTGTAAAAGATCATGTGAAGAAAAACAATGGGTTAACATAAAAATATAATAATTCTGCACAAAATGCTGTCCTTATTCTACCTGAATCGTGGATATATTATGACGGCTAAATCATCAAGCCATTGCTAAGGCATTAATGACACCTGAAGCAGGGTCATTAACTTTCTGAAGACTCTGCATAGTCCACTGGTGTGAAAGTATACAGTTGTCTTCAAATTAAGTTGAAGCCATGCACAGCCATGTTCTTTCGGCTTTTGTAAAACACAACTGAGGAGTCTTAGTCATGAGACATGCAGGCGACCTGGTTTAATTTGCTATTAGAGAATCACTCATCTCTCTAAACGGGGTTAATGATGGGACAAGCTCAGGTACAAGAAGAAACTGGGACAACCAGCTCAGTAGAAAACCAGTGTGCTTGATAGCTTTAATAATCCAGGCTAGACACTGATGCCACTGTGGATTTCTTCTTGCATTTGAACTTTGGGAACCAAAGAATCAAACGAGATGGATTTTTGTAAAAACAGAGACATTTGTTAGGTTCAAATGGACTCATGCCAAAGGTTATGCAGATGATGGTTTCAGTGAAAAAAAAAAGTCTTGTGAAATCTGGGAACAAAGAATCCAGCATGCAAGCCATATCAGTCTGGCCTCTAATCAAAAGCTTCCACTGAAGGGAGAAGCTGAAAAACCCTAAAAGAGAGACTTATACCTGTGATTGCAACAGCTTCAAGTAGCACAGCTCGTTGGCTACCTGTTATTCCATAAAGTTTTATTAGATATTCTGTCGATGCCGTCAGGCCATGGATTCTAGAGCCATGGGCATCTCCAGGAAGTTGAACCTCTCTCATGTCCCACAATCGCTGAGTGTCTTTATATTCTAGTGCAAAACTATCATAGACATCACGAGCCTTTAGTTTCCATGACAGATCAAATCCATCAGACGTGACACTTGAGACAGTCAGCACTCCAGGCTCATCCTCAGGCTCGGTCCCAGAAAACTGGGACTCGGAGGGGTCTAGATACACAAAGCTAATGACATTGTCCTCCAAGCCTGTAGGAGTCGCTAGCTCACGGTCATCTGAGTCAGCTAAATAAAATGTGAAAGAGGCTACAAGGAAAACAAGAAAATCAAGAAAGCATCGTTTAGTAACAGATGAAATAATAGTTTCTTGGTGCTGGTCGGCAGCAGATTTATTTCCAGCCAGCAAATCTCTACTTGTATTTCTAAACATGTACACAAATGATCATTTTCAAGCTTTCAGTCCTGGTTGCCTTGGTTACAAAGCTGCCATTAGCATTATATATGCAAAAAACGCAGCTGTTACTATAAACCAATCTTAATTAATTTTAAAAAAAGAATAGGAGATGGATCTTTTTACAGTGGAGGCGAAACAATCTCAGGTTGTCCAATGAACATTAAGATAAAAGAAAATTAATGATGCTGACACCCCTGAACTCCCACAGCTGAACCTGTCTGTAGATCCTTTTAACTTTAGCTCCTCGATGAAATCCTGAAGAACTTAACAGAGCATTTAACTAAAAATGCATGCGTTCTTATTCATTCTATTCATTTAAACTGTGGAAAAATGGTTCCCTACCCACCTGTGGATGCAGACAGGGAGACGGGTGTGCTCCTTTTGTGCCCCCTCTCTGCAGTCAAGGTAAGGGTGTAGCTCATCCCAGGAGTCAGATTGGGCAAATGATAGGTAGTCGTTGCAGCTGGGAACCCCACCTCCCCAAACTGACCGTCTCTGGAAATGTACACCAGCCTGTATCCACCGATTTTGGCCTGAGGTTTCTGCCACCTGACGGTGAGAGACGTCTCTGTGGATTCGATTTCCTCAAAATCTCTGGGAGGATCGAGGTCTGACAGAAAAATGAGGTAGATAAACAGCCCATTAGTGTCATTTTACCACTCAATTTGTTTCAACACATCCTATCTGTCTGTGTGTTTATGAAGCGGTGTGAAGGAGGAGTGTTTGGACAGCTGTTCAGCAGTGTCTCTCACCAGTTGCTGCGTTTGTGGTAGCTGGGAGGCTTTCTCTCTCATTCTTCACAGCAGTCACTCCAATCCCGTACTCTGTACCTGGCTTTAGCCCTGCGGTGCAGAAAGACGGAAGCTAAATATCCATGTTGGGTGACAAATGCAATTCTGGATATTGCATGTGTGTGGTCAAGCTTAATTTGTATTAATCAATGTGATACTTACTGGTGATGGTAGCCTGTGTGCTATCGCCTGATCCTTGCTTGAACACTTCCTCACCATGAATTTCCCCAGAGATGGGACTGTATTTTACCCGATAGCTGCTAATATCAGCTTCACTGTTGGTCCACTCCAGGGTGATGCTGTTGTCTGTCTGGGACACAGTCTGAAGGTTCGTAGGGGCATCCAGTGCTTACATAAACAGAGTTTCTTTCATTAATTATGTAATGACTTGTCACTTGTTGACCTACAATCATACAATAAGCTTAAATACATAATAATACAACATTAGACTGCTCTAGTTTGTAGTGTACAAATGCATAGTCTCAAAATATAACAATACAGTGAACCAAAACAGAAAATACAGTTATTATCACAAGACAACCTGTAGTGAATGTGGCAGTGACAGGGTCACTGGTGATGTCTCCACTCCTGGAAATGAGCGACACTGTGTACTCGGTGTCTGGCCTCAGACCATCAATGCTATACTGCTTGTCTGGGGGGGATATATCCACACGATTTTCATCTGAAGGGTCAGAGCTGGGCATGTAAAACATGGTGATTCCATCCATGGGAGCCACTGGCTGAGACCAGCTGATCAGAGCCGAGGAGTCCGTTATATCCTTCACCTCCACCTGCTGAGGGCTGTCGATCTCTAGATTGGGTAATTTGGTAAGAGAAGTTGGATGAGATATAGAGGGAAGAAAAGGTGCATGAAGAAACATGATGTCATCTAACCACAACAGAGGTACTGATTCACTGAAAGACAAAAAATGTGAAGAGTGGTAATTGTCCTAGAAACTGATACATCCGGGGTTATTTTTTTCTAGCTTAATATTCAAATATAATAACTTATTTGTAATCAATGTAAGCTGTATATTTGGCTCTATTTAGCTAATTTTGCTAATCATGCTAACCTAAGGTGTTGATTATGGTGAACACTTTTGCTAAAAATTAGCAAGTTAGCACGGTCAGTGCAAAAATATTAAGTATCACTGCTGGTTTCCACTTTGGTTATCCTGAAGATTAAAGGTATTTTGGCATCATAAAGTAGTAGAAGATGCTAATACATGTAGCTTGCTAACCAAGCAACTGCTTAGTGTTTCAAATATGTTCATGTTTGGCTAAAAAAACATCACCAAAACGGTAACATCAAAACCAATTCATGGCACCACAAGCTATGTCCATCTCTTCTAGTGTCATCTTGCAAGCTAAAAAGTACCTTTCCAAAAAACTATGTCTACCTTTGGCGTCAACAAGAAGAGAAATGTCTCTAAAAAAGATTTAATCAGTCTCTGTATGTGTAATTCATTATCTAAAAATACAGAGTTCACAATACAAATTCACAAAGAAAACCTGGATAAAGAGAAAGTAATCATTGTTTTGTTTGTGCGTGTTTGAACATAATATACATCTTGCATAACTCAACTTGGATATCAACCACCACAACAGGAAAATTCATTATGAAACATAATGTGATTCCCTTTAAGTCTGACGTCATGTCACTACCTGACAAATCTCCTGTGTTAACATGTGGAGGAGACATTTTTCCTCCACATTTTGGATCCATGCTAAAAAAAAAGGACCACTGGGGGTACAAGGGTATAAAAGTTTAACCTCTCTTCTATCATTCCTCTGTGTCGACTTTCAGCCTATACAAATAAATGACATCAGAAACAAAACGGTGTGGTACCCAGAGAGTCCATCTACATAGTCCTGTTAACGAAATGATTTTTCCATGCTCAAAGGAAGTTGTCTGGCTTGGCGTGCCATATTGATGGCGTAAGAAACTGGAACCATTTCATAACTTAATGTATGGAGTAACTCGGCAATAAAAGTTTCAATGAGACGAGGACGAGAGCTAAGAGCAAAAGATTTATTGGAAGAGGGAAAAAAAAACAACTATGACATGGACATGCTATGCTTAGTTAGTTTGAATTATTACTCTTTACCCTGAATCTGTTAGATGGAACTATGGAGAGCCACCTGGGATTTCTTCTTGTAGTTCTTCTTTTCTTTCTTCACTCTGGCTCACATAGCACAGGCAAAGTGCAAAAGTACTAATAGCTGCCACATAGTGCAGGAAAATTAAAATATTCTCTGACTCTAATGTGATGATTATGCTCGAGAGTTGATGATAGGCAGCCATAAACTGCATGACTGTAAATATTCTGTGTGCAGGAAACTCACTGGTAGTGAATGTTTGGGTTGTTTGGGGTCCTCTGGTGTTGTTCTTGATGATGTTGATGGAGACTTCATACTCCTGTCCTGGTCCAAGCCCTGATTGGAAGAATTGGTTCTGAGAGGGTGGAAGGGTGCTTGAAACTTTTCCATTTTCTTCTTTCTGTAAAAGTTACATAATATGCAAATCGTGTTAAAGTAGAAAATATACATTAAACTTGACTGCTGTGAGAAAATCAGCTTTAGGCATTAAAACATGGTGCCTCTGCTTTAGCATTTTCATTACTGTTTAGGTTATGCTATGTTTAGTGTACCGCAGGCAGTATATTTCTTCATGCAAGGCACAAAAAGGCAGGAGCGGGAGCTTGAAGGTCAGAAAAGGACAACACATTTTAAGGCTACGGAATATTAAAAGGACTTATCAGCTGGCACATTCATTCCTTTTCGAAGAGTTGGTTGGATTTTGCCTCGGTATCTCAGCAGCAGTTTTAGCCACAGTTCTATAACAGCCCTCACTAAACTTTTCCATATGTCAAAGCAAATTTAATGGTTACCACTAAAATAAATCCTTGTATTGCTGAGACTTTCAATAAGCTGGCGTAGCTTATCACCTCTGACTTTTCCCCTGATGGTTAATAAAATGCAGGCAAGTCTTCAGCAGAGATGGGGAGACTCACCATGTTGCGGAAATAGATCTCCCAGCCATCAAAGGGGATGTCCAGCTCGTCCCAAATGACCTCGACTGAGGTCTCTCTTACTGATTTGAACCTTAACCCTTCTGGCTGCGGAAGGTCTAGGGGGGACAGAGAGAGAATTAATAAATGTTTAGTATCTTTTTCTTAACCTATTCACAGCAAATGAACACAGAAACAAATATGGCATACCTGTGGCCACCCGTGCACTCACAGGGATGCTCCTTTTGTTACTCAGAACAGCGTAGACATTAATCAGATACTCAAGACCAGGCTCAAGCTCTTTAACAGTTGCAGCGGTTTTGTCTCCAGACACAGTGAACTCTTGGAGAAGACCGCCAGGAATTGTGGGCACATATGTGACGAGGTACTCTGTGACCAGCATCTCATTGTTCCAGGACAGGCCGACAGTCTCACTGGTGACCTCCCCAACAGTTAGGTCCTTTGGAGGAGATACTGGAAAAAATCAAGAAAAAAAAACAGCTGAGGGTGTTGTATTAGACATTTTCTCAGGCCCTCAAGTCAGTGAATATCAACCACGTAGAGCTAATGCAAACTCCAGACACACATCTGGCTGTGGTGTGAAGAACTGCCAAAAAAGTACAAACCGAGTACAGACAAGGGCAGCACAAAAACCGAAACCCTCTTTTATATTCACCAGAATAGTTTCTTTCAAGAAGAGTGGTGAGTGAAGTTTGAGAACGGAAGGAAATTACATCACTCTGCATTTGCTTTTATGGTGCACTTAGTTAACACATGGAAACTTTCTAAAATTGTGAACTGTCAAATCCTTTTTTTTGTCTAGAGACTCTTACCTTGTGAGCAGTCTTCTCCGATGTATCCCTCATCGCAGACACACTGACCGTTCACGCAGTGCCCTTTGTCCTGGCAGTTGTTGATGCAGCTCATCATTGCACAGCTTTGTCCTTCATATCCGATCTCACACATGCATCTTCCGTCGATGCAACGCCCCCTGTTGTTGCAGTTATCTGGACAGGTGAGCATGGAGCAATCGTCTCCCGAATAGCCTTCGTGACAAATGCACTCTCCATCCACACAGTAACCGCGGGTCAGGCAGTCGTTGGGACAAGCTCTCTGACTGCAGTCTTCTCCTGCAAACCCTTCGTCACAGACACACTGACCATTGACGCACCGGCCATGGTTCCTACAGTTGTTGGGGCAGCTCAATTCACTGCAGTCCTCACCAGTGAAGCCTGCGTGGCATAAACAACGCCCCTCGGAGCACTCTCCACGGCTGTAGCAGTTTGAAGGGCATGTGCGGATGCTGCAGTCCTCACCGGCGAAACCTTCCTCGCATACACATTGACCATTGAGACAGCGCCCCCTTTGCAAGCAGCTGTTTGGACAGGACAGCTCGGAGCAATCGTCTCCCTGGAAGCCAACATCACATGCACACTGTCCATTTATGCACTGGCCTCTGTTGTTACAGTTGTTCAGACATGCCAACTGGCTACAATCTTCACCCTGATACCCTGTGTCACAGATGCACATCCCACTGAAGCAGGTTCCTCTACCGTTACAGTCATTCAGGCAGGTGAGCTGACTGCAGTCTTCTCCGCTGTAGCCAGCTGTGCAGACGCACTGGCCATCGACACAGAAACCATTACCACGGCAGTTGTTGGGACAGATGCGCTCTCCACAGTCTTCCCCGGCGAATCCTTCATCGCAGTAGCAAGTTCCATTCAGACAGCGTCCACGGTCGTAGCAGTCTTTGGGGCAGATAAGCTCAGAGCAGTCAAAGCCAGTCCACGGTTCATCACACACACAGTCTCCGTCATCACAGCGCCCACGGCCTAGGCAGTTATTGAGGCACTTGCTCTGAGAACAATCTTCGCCAAAGAAACCATCCGTACAGACGCAAACGCCACCCACGCACTGGCCGTGCACGCTGCAGTCCACAGAGCAGGCCTCAAATGAGCAGTCTTCTCCAGCAAAGCCTTTAAAGCACTTGCACTTTCCATCCACACAGTGGCCTCGGTCCCGGCAGTTCTTTGGGCACTCGGGTTCGGTGCAGTTGGGTCCCTTCCAGCCAGGCTCACATATGCAGCCACAGGTTTCAGCGCTGAAGTTTCCATGACCATTACAGTAAGGTTTTGTTCCCACTTCACCTTTAAAAAAAATGCAGCATAACAATGACAAGTGCAGTCAGCTTGACATTTGGAGAAAGCATGCTTTTTTTACTTTCTTGTTGAGAGTTGGCAGTGAAGAAAGACTTTTCTGTATGCTAAGAAGAGCCAACAGATGCATAAGCGAATGTATATTTCCTAAAATGCCAAACTATTCCGGCTTATTTTAACAGCTACTGTTTTCCTTCTTTCATTGGTACTGACACAACTTTATGTAACCCCTTACTGATCCAAAAAATAACAAAAAAAACATGCAAAGTTAATAGATGAGCTGGTGTCCTCTACTGTACAGCTAAAATTACGCCCCCACGTTAGATTTCAAAGAACTCTCAGCAGATGAAGGGAACAGATGTGACTCATGAACGAGCCTTGTGGGGTTACAAAGCACTTTTCATTGCAGAGTCTGATAAATAAAGGATTGTTTTACTTTGCTGGCTCTAACAGGCAAATGTGACTGACACAGCGTGATGGAAAAATTACACCTACCTTTGACCTGAGCACTGCAGCAGGCCCCTTCACTGTGGCACTGATCCCTCAAAGCTGAAACTTCTCCCTCAAGCATCTCAAGCCGGCTCATGAGGGCTTTTAGACCGGGCAAGTGGTCAGTGCAACCACAGGCCTGCCGAGGTATGTTGATGCGGTGAGTGAAGACAATCTGGTTCTCCCCGTCGAGCGTGTGCTCGGTCATGTGATGGCCTGAGGAGACTGGTGCATCTTTGGGATGAAGGTGCGTACTTTCTGTAGCGTCTAGGTCCACTGAGCACAAGGAACTGCCAGGAACATTAATGTTATAGACGTGGTTGAAAACCAAAGGATGATCTGCTCTCGGGAGGGTTATGTTATGATCTTCAGGGGATGCCAAAGTCTGTCGTCGATGCCGTAGGATTTTTTTCACAAGCCCAGCATTTGATAAGGTGAGGCAAGTGATTAGGAGAACGCAGCCCAGAAGGCCTTGTGTACCCATGTTAGATGTGTAGCGCTTTATTAGTGAAATAAATATCCGTGCGAACCTCAGACAAAAGCTCAATCCTGGTTAACGGTGAATGTTCTGGAAAGACAGACAGATACATTGTTACAGCAATTTAGTATTTAATGCTTTGTAGCACAATTAATAAATATATGAGAAAACATCTGAAGAACCGTGTTATACCTGCTCTAATTACAACAAACCAGCAATTGAGATGAAATGTTTTCTTTTAAAACAGTTTTTCATAATGCCTGTCTTTCATAACTATCAACTGTACATGCGAATAAGGTTTGGTGATTTGGTGTAAGTTCACTACATGTGACTAGTTTTGTCTTGTTTAGAGAAAGACAGAAGCTTGAGAGATGGAAATCAGTGCAACATGAACATTTAGGATATGACACAGTTATTTTTTGGACTGTTTTTTCATTGTTTTTGCTTTGCTGGTATTAAACAGTCAAAATAAATATCCAATAAATGTAGTTTTTGATCATTTTTGATAATCTTGTACATAGTTTCCATAATAAATAGGGAAAGGTGTTTTTTGTTAAAGCCCTGCTTTTTTAAAAAAAAAAACCCTATTATCAAATAATCCGCAGGTGTCCTGGTAAATCAACTTGCTCCACGGTGTTTGTGTAAATATAAAAAATCTGTTGTTTTACTCAAAAAATTATAATCTCAATTCTCTAGTGTCCACATAAAATTAGGTAAAAATGTGTGAAAACTTCTTGCCCAACTTCATTATCTGGACACCAACAGCACTATAATTTATGGGAGTAAAATGACAAGCTTCTTCCTCAGCGTGGGAAAGCCCTCTTGGATTACTCAGTGATGAGTTTCCAAATGATCTAAGTTCGCACGAGATACTGAAAATCAATAGTAAGGCCATTGGGGTAAAGGTGTGTCACCAGGGTGCAGGGGAGGCATCCCCCCTCTGTCCCCTTCTGGCTTCTTGTGCCTCAATTTTATCCCACAACTTAGACATTCACATTACTCACACTCTCAT